TAAACCACTAGAAAACCCGAAGTGGCACTGTGGCTCTAGTGGCAAAGCGCTAGCCTTGAGCTGAAGAGCACAGGGACAGCACCCAAGCCCAGAGTTCAAGCCCCAAAACAGACTAAAAAAAACAAAAACAAAAAACAGTGCCTAGGCCCTGAGTTCAAGCCCCCATGACCCACCAAAAAAAAAAAAAGGGCTGGGAAGGTTGCTCAGTAGTAGAGTGCTTGCCTTGCATGCATCGGTCATGGGTTCGATTCCTCAGCACCACATTAGCAAAAAGAAAAAAAAAGCCAGAAGCGGCTCAAGTGGTAGGGCGCTAGCCTTGAGCTGAAGAGCTGAGGGACAGCACCCAGGCCCAGAGTTCAGGCCTCACAACCAGACCCCTCCCCCCGAAAAAAAGAACTGTCATTTAACAGAACTATTCAATTTTAAACTGTAAAACTAAGATACTCAAGAATAGAAAGTATGTGAACTTTCTTCAAAGGCTTTCTCTAAGAAATGGAGTATCATAATTATCTATTTTTGAAAAATTATCACTTTCAGGAAACTCCAAAAGGAAATGCTAAAGATGTCTTAAGAAAAAAAAATTCCCCTAGGGCTCCAGTAGCTCCTGCCAGTAATGCTAGCTAGTCCTTAACACTCTTATCTCCAAGAAACCACCAGAAAACTGGAAGTGGAGCTGTTCCTCAAAGTATAAGGTTAGCTTTAAGCGAAAAACTTGAGGGATAGCACCCAGGCCCTGAGTTCAAAACACACAGACAAAAAAAAAAAGTTCCTTACGAAAATCCCTGAACAGCAGGTGCTGGTGTCTCACACCTGTAATCCTAGCTACTCAGGAGGCTGAGATCTGAGGATCACAGTTCAAAGCCAGTCCTAGGAGGAAAGTGCATGAGACTCTTATCTCCAATAAACCACCAGAAAACCAGAGTGGTGCTGTGGCTCATAGTGGTAGAAAGCAAGCCTTGAGCTGAAGAGCTGAGGGATAGCACCCAGGCCCAGAGTTCAAGCTCCACAACTACCAACAACAAAAAAAAACCACGAAAATCTCTGAACATGAAATTTCCAGGTTGATTGTTTAGATCAAAAAATTGTGCAGCTAGGCTCCAGTGGCTCACACCTGTAATCCTAGCTACTCAGGAGGCTGAGATCTGAGGATCGCAGCCCAGGTAGGAAAGTCCGTGAAACTCTTTTCCCCAATAAACCACCAGAAAACCAGAAGTGGCGTTGTAGCTCAAGTGGTAGTGTGCTAGCCTTGAGCTGGAGAGCTGAGGGACAGCTGAGTTCAAGCCCTAAGACCAAAAAAAAAAAAAAGAAAAGAGAAACTACTCCATAGTTACAGTCCTTCCGCAATAACAAAAGTACTATCAAGGGATCTGAAAAAGAAAGATACCTGTTATTTTGAGGCAACTTTCCAATTCTAGAGCCTAAATGTTGACATAACTCAATGGTAGAGGGCTTTCTTAACATGTACAAGACTGGAGGGGGGGGGGGCAGGAAGAGAGGATTACCCTCAGCTGCTCCAGCCACTAGTCATTAGAACTATAACTATTTGTAGATTTTAAAAAAGGGTGGGGGCGGGGGGACTGGGAAGTTGGCTCAGTGGTAGAGTGCTTGCCTGGCATTCATGAGGCCCTGTGTTCGATTTCTCAGCACCACATAAGCAGAAAAAAGCCAGAAGTGGCGCTGTGGCTCAAGTGGTAGAGCACTAACCTTGAGCTGAAGAGCTAAGGGACAGCGCCCAGGCCTGAGTTCAGGCCCCATGACCAACCAAAGAAAAAAAAAAAATCAAGCCAGGTGCCAGTGCCTCACAAGTATAATCCTAGCTACTCAGGAGGCTGAGATCTGAGGATCATGATTCAAAGGCAGCCCAGGCACAAAGTTCATGAGACTTTTTGGTAGGTCATGGGGCTTGAACTCTGGGCCTGAGCGCTATCCCCCAGCTCTTCAGCTCAAGGCTAGCTCTCTCTCTAGTCTCATGTACTTTCCTGCTAGGGCTGGCTTTGAACTGTGATCCTTAGATCTTAGCCTCCTGAGTAACTAGGATTACAGGCGGGAGCCACCACCAGCCTGGCTCCCAGAGCTTCTTATCTCTAATTAACCACCAGAAAACCAGAAGTGGCACTGTGGCTTAAGTGGTAGAGAGCTAGCCCTGAGCTGAAAAGCAGCGCCCAGGCCTAGAGTTCAAGCCCCACAACTGAACAAAAAAGAAAAAAAAAAAGAAAGCAGGATACAGTGGCTCACCTGTAATCCTAGCTACTCAGGAGAGGCTGAGATCTGAGGATCTCAGTTCAAAGTCAGCCTGGGCAGGAAAGTCCAAGAGACTCTCATCTCCAATTTACCACAAGAAAATGGGAAGTGGCACTGGGGCTCAAAGTGGTGGAATGCTAGCCTTGAGCAACAAATCTCAGGGGCAGTGTCCAGGCCCTGAGTTTAAGCCTCACAGCCAAAACAAAGAAACAACAACAAACACTGAACCTCCAACAAAGAATGGGAGTAGCCAGGCCCAGGTGGCTCACATCTGTAATCCTAGCTACTAGGGAGACTGAAATCTGGAGGATCTTGGTTCAAGGCCAGCACAAGCAAGAAAGTCTGAAAAATACCATCTCCAAAATAACCAGCAAAAAGCAGAGCTGGAGGCATGGCTAAGAGGTAGAGCACTAACAAGTATGAAGCCCTGAATTCAAACCCCAATATCCCCCCCAAAAAATAGAAAAAAGAATGAGAACTAAAAAAAAAAGAAAGAATTAAAATAATAATGTCCTAGTATTAACAGTGAGAGCCTCAAAGATACCCCTGAAAACAATGAGTCTTACATCCTTTCTTTCTTTACATTCTTAAACAATCTGACTTCAAACTGGACTAAAAATAATTCTCTGATTTAGTTTACTGTTCTTCTATCAAGCTATTGTAAACTTCAAGATGCTTTCTAGCTATGTTCAAGCATCAAAATACAAGGCTGGTAAGACTAAGCATTTTTAGCTGTTCTTTCCTCCTTGGTAACAAACAACTGTCTAGGGAGATACTAATGCTATTCTCATACCAACTTGGGAATTAATCTACATTATTAGCAAGTAAATCCATCCAAAACTAATCGAGATTATGAGTTTTTAAAATGCATTTTGTAAGCCGGGTGCCAGTGGCTCACGCCTATAATCACAGCTACTCAGGAGGCTGACATCTGAGGATCTCAGTTCAAAGCCGTGCGGGCAGAAAAGTCCCTGAAACTCATATCTCCAATAAACTACTCAGAAAAGCCATTAGCACAATAGCTCAAGTGGTAGAGAACTCACCTTGAGCTAAAAAAGCGCAGGGTGAGGGCTAGGAAGTTGGCTCGGTGGTAGAGCGCTTGCCTTGCATGCCTGAGGCCCTGGGTT